CAAAGGCATGGGGATGTGTGTTAATTTAAAAAAACGATCATTTCCCGTTTGGAAATGAAGGGACGGGTAAAGCCACCACTGTTTGTCATCCTTCTGAGCCTGGGGCAGGACGATGAGCTGTCCCCGTGGTCTCTGGGTGCCCATGAGGGTGCCGATCCTCAGCTAGGGGGGTAGGTTTTAAAGGCTCTTCAAACACTGCTGTGTCCAGGTCAGGGCCAGCAGAAGCGACGGCACAGACACAGGCCTGCAGGTTTGGGGGCAGGCGGGGGCAGGGCCCATGGAGGCCACAGAGGGAACACCAGGTGGGTTTACCGAGAAGGGTCATGGACCCTGCACTACCCCCTGGTGGTGGCCTGAGGCAAGCACTTTGCCACAGTCCGCGCCACTCCCTGTTGCCTCTCTGCTGGCTGGTTAAGTAAGACCCTCCCATTTGAGGCCAACCTTTGGGGTGGGTTCTGGCTTCCCTGCAGGAGGCTGAGAGCTGGCTCTTCCTACCTGCTCCTCAGCCTTCCAAGGCAGCCGGGGACGCGTCCCTCTGACCCAGAGCTGCCCCGAGGGAGTCTGTCCCCCGCTGGGCTGTCCAGCCTGGCTGAGGGCGCTTGCCTGCATCTGAAATGTCATGAGCTTCTTAGAGAGATCCATTTAAATAAAAGCGTGGCGTACCATTTGGACTCTGTGTGGTGGATGATGCCGCCATCCCTTCCAGGCGAGGTCATGGTGCACCACTGCCGGCCACCCTTCTGAGGCCCTGGCTGACAAGCCCGCCTCGGGGGCTGCCCCGCAGGGTCTCCTAGACCGCTGTCCGTCTGGGAGCAGACCGAGGGGGCTCTCTCATTGGCCCCTGGGTGGGACTGAACCGACAACCTCCCAATTTGCAGCTGAGCCACCACTTGGCCATGTTTCAGCCCATGCCACAGCAGCGGGAGGCCCTGGGGTTTGTGGGGAGCCGGGTGGAGACACACTTCTGGTCACATGGGTGTCCCACCCGCCTGCACACCAGGAAGCGGCCCTGACAGAGGTGGAGGAGCAGTCGGCCCCAGGGCTGCCTATTCGACTAGCAGAGGGAAGCTCTGCAGAACAGAGGGACACAGTCTCACAGGGCTGGGGTCTGAGTCCAGGGGGTGGGCAGGGCAGGGTCCTTCCTGGCCTTTAGTGGCCCCCAGCTGGTGGCCGCCTGCACTGCTTCATGGCCACCACTCTTGGGTCTCCACCTCGGCCTCCCAGTCACAGGCCACAGTACGTCAGTGCCCACCCTGCTCCATTCTCTGGTGCCCGCCCGCCGACCTAAACCCTGGCAGCTTGAGCCCACCTAGAGGCCCCTCAGAAGTGGACCTGGAGACTGACCTCCCCAAGATGCCAGCAAGCCCCACGGAGCCACGCTCTGCTGACAGGCTGACATCCTAGGGACTGGTGGTCACTTGGTACCCCAGCACGTGTCCAAATACCCCGTTCCCAATGGACAAGGCTGCATGGGGCGACACTGAGGTGGCCCTAGCCCTGCCCCTTGGGGTCCCCCCCCATATTCATGGGGACAGACCGCCAGGGCGTTTCCCCTTGGAGCCACTAGGCGGGCTCAAACCCTCAGCCTTTTGCTTAGTGGCGAGTGTGTGCACTCAACAGCTGTGCCTACAGGGCTGCTCGCTGTGGAGGCGGCTCAGCTGCCCCCGACCCCCTTTCCTCTTGGCTAGAGAGGGGGCGGCCCAGTCTCGGGCACCATCCCAGCTGCTGGCCACTTGACTCCCAGTGTTCGTTTGCCCGTTTCTTTTTTTAAAGAACGTCTCCGAAGAGCACACTCGGCCTTGCCCCTGGCTGCAGGCTGGCCTCCCACCCCCTTCACTCTACCATGAGCGCCTGGTGCCAGCAAGGGACATGCCCACCGCCCACTGCACAGCCGGCAGTTCAGGACTGTGCAGAGGCACCTCGGAAGAAAGGGCTGGTGATCTACTTCTGAAGAAAAACCACGCAGCCCCAGGAGCAGCCCCGTCCCACCAACACGTGGGTCGCTGGGAATCGGGCCTGGCAGCCGCTGGACATGGGGGCAGGGCAGGAACAGTGGTAGGGACCCGGGGGAGGGGCATCTACCATGTTGTGGCTTGGCACGTCCGTCTGTCAAGTGATACCCTCTCTGTAGGGGCTGGGGGCTAACTGGGGCAAGTTCTGAGCCTCGGCCACCTCAGCAAAGTCCTGCCCTCGGGCCCCGAGGTCCGTTCCTGTCACCTGCGCCGTGAGCATAAGCCCCCTGAGCCCAGCAGCCCCTGGTCTGCATCGCAGCAAAGGGCCCCCTCCGCAGCCCCACAGGCCACAGCTGGAGCCCTGGGTGGAGTTCCTCTGTAGTCTTATTTATTTAAATACCACAATCTGAAAGTCCGAGTTGGGGGGTGGGGGAAGGTTTGTAAGAAAAACCTCGATTGCGAACGAGGGCTGTAGGCCCCGCAGTGGTCTGGGAGTCGAGAGGCCAGGGTGAGGGATGAGGAGACTGTCCCGGTGGAGCCACCACACGGCAGCCCGTGTCCTGACCACCTCTCTGGAGGGGCCGTATGCCTGCCTGCCGTAAGGTCTGTCGGGTCTTGTGTGAGGTCCTGCATTTGGAGAACGAGAGGAGCAGAAGGTGGGAAGGGTCGGTCCGGAGACAGGGGAAGGAGCTTTGAACCCGTCCCCTGGGCCTCAGTGCGGCATGAACTCCTCCGATCAGGGCTGCCAGCTGAGGCCGTCCCCAGAAAACCGGGAACACATCAGTCCTCGGGTCCTGTTCTTGCTCAGAGATGAGGGGAGGCCCGGCAGGCCTGCTGGTCACAGCTCACTGCGGGACGCCTTGGCCACAATCACCAGCTTGGACAGCTCGGCCTTGAAGGCTCCGGGCCTGTGGGCCACTGCAAGAGAAGAGACCTGGCGTGGGGCTCCCAGCCTCCCGGGTCCTCAGGGCTTACGCCGCCTGCGGAGGGCCCAGACGCAGGAGGAGTGGAGCCACCCTGCCAACAGAGAGCAGCAGTAGAAGGACCCCAGCCCCGAGTCTTACAGGTGGGGACACAAGCCCTCCTGCAACACCCAAAGTAACCACGGGCTCCCTGGCCCTTTCCAGGGAAAACTTGAGCCCTCCTGAGCTGAGCCCCCCCTGCTGGGACGCTGTCGGCCCCGCCCCAGCCCACTGACGGACCTGCTGTCTTGGTCACTTCAAACTCCTCACTTCTCAGGGGGACGTCGCTTTCTTTTTCGAACGCAGCTTTCGACTGAAAGGGAACAAGGGAGCACCCTGAGCGGCTGGGCCCGGGAGGGGAACGGGCGCCTGCCGCCTGAGAAGGCACACGACCACGCCCCCCTTTGTCCTCAGAGGAGCGTCCGTTCCGCATCCTGTCGAGGCTGCCCCGTGAGTCCACTTCTGAGAGTGGGCTTGGCCTCCACAGCCACCCCCCCACCTCCGAGTTCCGTGGCTGCTGTGGGTGCAGTGGGGTGGGTCCCAACTCCCAGCGACCCCGTGACAACTGCCCTACAGGGTTTGCGAGGCTGGAATCCTTTCACCCCGTGCACCTGGCACACGTCCTCATTGGGAAGGAAGGCCTCTGCTTGCATTTCCCACAAGTCTAGCGGCATTTAGGTGGGTGACACACGCCCGGCAGTCCCTGGCCCTGCACCGTGTCCCGGGACTCACGTAGGCCATGCCATACTCGATCTCAGCGCCCTGCACCTCGGCCTGGAACTGGGTGAAGTAGAGGTAGGATTTCCCCTGCGGTCTGTGAAGAGGAGACAGGTGTGAGAGGTGGCCCAGGCCTTGTGGGCCGGAGTCAGCCTCGAGGGGCTACTTCTAGCTGTGCCGTCCCCATTTCAGGAGCGAGACCACAGTTCCCAAGGGGGTTGGACTCTGGGGAGACCGGCAGGCTCTTCAGCATTGGCCCCTTTGCTGGAATGTTCTTCTGGTGTGTTTCTCAGACAAGTTGCTCTCCTGTTCTGGGCTGTGACCCTCACATTCACTCCTCCAGGACCTGTTTTGTTGTTTTCCAAGTACTGTAAATACACTTAATGGACAGTTAACCTGTAACTATCTCTGGGTGGCATTAACGATCTTTTCCACGTGGGACCACCACATCGGCATTTCTAACCTGTCTCGGCATCCCAGTGGACAAGGGGCTTCCTGTGAGCTGCCCTGGTGACCACTAGTCCTCTCTGCCCACTGTCCCCGCCCCCCCGCCCTGTGGCCCCTCTGACTGATGTCCAACAATCCTCTCTGCCCGCTGTCTTCTCCCCTCAGCCCTCCCTGTCCTCTGCACTTGCCCATCTGGACAGTTCAGGCAGCACATCACCCATTCATGCAGTTCACTCGTTCATTCATTGACCCGCTCTCATTCTGTCATGTACTCACTTGTTCAGGGGCGCACCCATTCTCTCACCGTCCACCCACTCACTCATTCGCCTGCTCATTCACGGCTCCACTCATTCATTCACTCAGGGGCTCACTCACTCGCTCAGGCCTGCCTGGCTCCCCTGGGCACGTCCCGTCCTGCCGGAGTCAGTGGGGCTCCAGGACGGAGCTGGAGGAGGCCATGGTTCCCATGAAGGGTGATGAAGCCCAGGAACAGGGTGTGAGGAACAGGATGGGGAGGTCTACGGAGCTGGGAGGCCAGGTGGCGTGGGTGGCTCTCCCCATGGTGGCCCTGTGACAAGGTTCAGCCCTCACCCTGAGCCACTTTGATGCTGTGCAGACGCCCACAGCCCCTGAGGGGCCCCACACGACACAGCCATGCCCAACACACCGTGGTGCCGGAAGTGTCTTTCTCAGTGTACACGAAGGCCTGAGGCCCGCTACACTGCCACCCTGGAAGCCAAACCTGAAGACTCGCGTGAGAGGGGGCCCTCTGACCCACCCACACCAGATGTCCCCAACTGCAAATCCAGACAGGAAGTGGGCGAGTGGATGCCTCAGCCACAGGGCACAGGGCTGAGGGCTCAGATGTGAACAGAACCCCCACCCTCCCAGCAACAGCCCCCCCAGGAGGAAGGCCTAGCGCTCTCTTCCCTGAATATGGCGGCCGGGGGGTGGGGGGCCCGCTACTCCGTCTCGGGGCCCAGGGGTTGCTGTGAGTCGACAGTACCGGCTTGGAAGCAAAGGGTGAGGAAGACACTGTGGACGTCCCAGCCTCGGACACGCACGGGGCAGGTTCCCCTGTCCCACCACGTTGCTGTGAGTCAGCAGAGACTCAATGGCAGTGAGTTTGGTTTTGGGGTTTGGGGTGATCTGAACAGGTGGAGGGTGGGTTCAGGTCCCAGGGGGCCCCTGGGGCCCCTTCCTGGCTGGTTGGCCCCTTCTCCGTCTGTGGACACTGAGAGCTGACCTGGGCCATACTGACTGCCTAGGACCCTCAGCACCGACCTGCCCACCTTCTCTCAGCAGGCTCTGTGGGAGCTCTCCCATCCCAGGTACCTGGGGACCCTCACAGCTGAGCCCCATACAGGCCAGCGCCAGCCTCGCGGGCCCCCTGCTCACCTCCAGATGGTGCAGGTGAAATGCTGATGGTCTTCACTCATCCCCAGGCTCATCTGCCACTTCTGGAGAGAGAGAGAGAGAGAGAGAGAGAGAGAGAGATAGAGAAAGAGAAAAAGAGAGAGAGAGAGAGAGAGAGAGAGAGAGAGGAGAGAAAGAGCTCAGGTTGGCCCAGGACACAGGCTCCCTGTGCCCGGCTCTCACAGCCAGCCCTCAGACTGGTTCCTGTTCTCCAAAGCCGGTAAACTTTGTCTGTGGGGAGAGCCAGCCTCCTGCAAACACACAGACCAAGACAGACAAACACCAGCTGCCTCTGGGGCCCCTGGGCGTCACACCGAGGGCTCTGCTCACAGGGTCTCCAGCCCTTCAGGGTGGCTGCCAACATTAAGCACTGCTGGAGAGCCGAGTGCTTAACCGTGCTTGCCACCAGGCACTGCCCAGAAACCTGCTGCCCAGCTCGTCCCAAGGCCCCTGATTGGCAGGGGGAGGGCAAAGGCCTTCCCTGCCCCTTTGCTGGTCAAATGACTGAGCTCACCGAAATCTCCCGGAGGAACGATGGACTCAGGCAACCGGGCCCATCACGAAGACCAACACGGCATCGTCACGGGAATTAGAAGGGCAGTCTTCAAGCAGGAACGCAGGGAACGATTGTGTGACAAGGGCCGGCCCCAGGCGGAACCTGCCCACTTAGCATTCTTCCCCTATCCCCTCACCCCCTATAAAAACACCTGCCCGTGGCCCCAAGCCCAGGTGGTACAGTGGATCACATGGTGGGCTGCTTGTCACAAGGTCAGCGGTTCAAATCCACCAGCTACTTCCTGAGAGAGCCCTGATGCATGACGGTCAATATCAAATCACGCAGTGCCCCCTTGCTCTGTGCAAACAGCTGCCTCAAGGTCTATGTTCAAGTTCCTTAGGAGCACAATCAAGTGCTCTGGAATCCCCACTCCTCAATGTTATCCACAGTGGGTAATGGAAGGCAGAGCTAATAAAGCACAAGGAAACATTTAAATGCTGTTTTCAGTTTTCAGCCTCGATCCACCTGACATCAGCAATGATGCCCCTGGTTCCACATCCCCTTCCAACTCCGCTCCCCATCGATGTACACGGCTGCAACCATTTTAAAAGTATCTTCAGCGGATTTTACTTGCATTAAGATGTTAATGATACTGCTCGGTAATTCCCATATTCTGGTGGGTCATCTTTCTTTAGGATGGGCCCCCACATGGATCTCCTCCAGTCGGCTGACCAGGTAGCTGTCTTCCAAATTCCTTGGCACAGATGAGTGAGAGCTTCCGGCCCTGCATCTGTTTGCTGGAACAATTCAACTGGTATTCCGGCCCATACTGGCGAGGCTGCTGCGGTCATAGCTGCTCTCTGGGCTTCGTGATGCCACCCAAGGACGGTAAGGAGGGGGATGTCAGGATGCTGGCCAGGAAACACAAAGACCTCGTGAACCAATCTGGGGGCAGGGCCAAGAAGTAGTGGTCCAAAGGCAAAACTCGGGACAAGCTCAGGAACATGGTCTCACTGGAGAAAGCCACATGAGGAGCTCTGTAAAGAAGTTCCCCACTCTAAGCTCATCACACCGGATGTTGTCTCTGTCTCTGAGCGACTGAAGATTCGCGGTTCCCTGGCCAGGGCTGCCCTCCAGGAGCTGCCCAGTAAAGGGCTTAGCAAGTGGTTTCAAAGCACAGCTCAAGGAACTGACGCCAGGAACACCAGGGGTAGAGACGCCCCAGTGGCCGGTGAGGATGCACAAGCAGGTTCAACCAACTGTCCATGTTGATAGAATTCTACTAACCCCCCAACTGCCCATGTTGAAGGACAGAATTCTACTAACCACCCCAATTGTCCATGTTAAACGATAGAATTCTACTAACCACTCCCCCAACTGTCCAGGTTGAAGGATAGAATTCTAACACCCCCACCCCCGCCAAAAAGCCCCAACAAAAACAATTCAGTTGGCGTTCCACCAATTCCTGGAGCTTTGTTTTTGTCCGAGGCCTTCAAGCGCGGCTTGGACGTCTTCCTTCAGTACCACTGGTTCTCGATCCCATGCTGCCTTCTGAAACGGCGGAACGCCAACCCGCTCTTTTAGGTCCAGCGACTCTGGGTGTTCCTGCCATCTTCTTCCGATGTCTCCCATGTCATTCAACGTTCTGCCCGTAGACGCTTCCTTTCTGAGACTTTCTCCTCCTTCAGTTCTCCCTTCTGAGAGCTGCTGAGCGAGCGCCTTCTTCCCCTGTGGCTTCTGAACTCCAAGTCTCTGCAAGACACGTGCTACTGACACTTCTTGATCCTCGGTCTTCGCGAGCTGCCCATCGAAATCTTCTGCTCAGGTGTGTTGCTTGCGTACTGCTTCCTTTAGCCGAGCTGCTCCAGGTGCAAGAGTCTTTACTGACGTTCATTTGGTCTGATACGCACTGCCCTCAAGTTAATTCCCACTCACAGCGACCCTACAGGGCAGAGTGGGTCTCAGGACAGAGAGCCTCATCTTTCTCCCAGGAGTCATTGGTGGCCTGGAACTGCTGGCCTTACAGGGCCCCTTTCCGGTCCAATACATCATGTCTAATAAAGTCTTCCACCACTCATGTGCCAGTGTGCCATACTCTGCTGGTTTGTGCCTTGCTGTAATACTGGAAGATATGCCACCAACCAAACTCACCACCACTGAGTCGTTGCCGACTCACAGGATGTGGTAGAACTGCTCCTATGGGTTTCCAAGACCATAACTCTTCACGGGAGTAGAAAGCTTCATCTTTCTTCCTCAGCGGGCTAGTAGTTTCGAACTTCAGACCTTGCGGTTAGCAGCACAATGCATAACCACTACGCCAGGGCTCTGGGAGCTGTCACAGGCGCTGTAAATACCGGCAGGTCCACCACCGTGGGTAGGTTTCAGTGGACTTCCACACCGAGAAGAAGAAAGGCCTGGCGACCGGCTTCCGATAAACTAGCCAGCGAAGACCCTGCCGGTCCTGACAGAACACCGACTCTCCTGCTTCAGACGAGCACCAGAGGGATCAGTCGCTGGCAGAGGGCATCCAGCTTGGTAAAGGAACAGGCCAGGGAGGCCCTCGGGGAGACAGACTGGCACAGGATATGCAGCGATGAACTCAAACACCCCGAGGACTGCAAGGCTGGTGCAGGACCGGCAAAGTCTGGTGCTCTGTCGCAGGTGGGCATCGCTGTGATTCAGCACTGAGTCGACGGCCACCCGCGATGACAGGGGCTCACGGAGCCCTGGTTTCCTCTCTTGTCCCTCCCTCTGCCCACACCTTTGCTCATGGGAGGACCACTATGATGCCGAGGGAACTCTCTTCTCCAGGTGAAGCAGGAACAGAGCCAGGAGCGCACGTCACGGAACGTGCTGACAGTGGCTCTGGGCCTGCACTCTGGTCTCGAATGACTCACCTCGTTGGTCCCTCCTTGAGAAGCGTAGGTGAACACACAGGTGTACTTGTCCTAGACGCCAGAGAAAAGAAAGGCTGAGTGAGTGGCGGTCCTTTGGGCTCCAGGTGCTGGGCCTCAGAGCTTCTGCTGAGACCCTGAGTTGGATGGTATCGTCAAGCCAGAGCCCACTGCCCACCTTTGGGCAGTTGTACTAAGATCGTCCGAGGGGGTCATTCTCTAGCACCCACCTTTCTGGGTGCAGGTTCTGGAAGCGGGGACACCTGGGGGTGGGGTGGGGGGAGCATCCCTCTTCTGCTCTGGGCTCTGGGTAATTGAAAAACCTCTCTGAGCCTCTGTCCACATAGGGTATTAACCACAAAGCTGAAAATGGGAGTCCATCCAGGGTGCGCAGGCAGAAAGGCCTGGCCATCTACCTCTAAAAGAATCAGCCACCTTGTGCAGTGTTGGTAGTACAGTGGTGAGCACAGCCAAGCCTTCCAGGGCACAATTCTACCTGGACACACAGGGTGGCCATGAGTCAGGAGTGTCAACTGGGTGAGCGGCGGGTTGATAAGTGGTAATATGGGTGTATCACACCAAGGACTTGGCACAAGAATTGCCTATCAGGAAGTCCTCAGCTGCGGTACACACAAATTAAAATTCAGACATGATGACTGTGAGCCTGAAAAGGGCAGATAAGTCACAACTCAGGCACAACGGACATCCTCTAAGGCAGTGGTTCTCCACCTTCCTCATGCCGTGACCCTTTCATACAATTCCTCATGCGGTGGTGACTTCCAACGATAAAATTATTTTCATTGCTACTTCATCACTGTCATTTTGCTACTGTTACAAATTGGGCGACCCCTATGAGAGGGTTGTTTGATCCCCAAAGAGGTCGTGACCCACAGATTGAGAACCGTTGCTCTAAGGTGTAATGGGGAATGCCCAAAACATGGGACACATTAATTAAACAAAACCAAAAAAACGGATTCATAAGCAGCGGAATGACAGGACATTACTCTTTCAGCTTGAGAGGCTGTCACTCGCTTTTCCCTGCACTTGGTGGCCGACCAGCACTGTCCCCTCCCTGGAAGCAAGCAGTCCTGCTGACCACAGCCCCACACCAACGACCTTCTTTGTAAGGCGCTGACAGGACATCTACCCCGGGATTGGTAACACGGGCTCTTGCGGAATCCTCGCTTTATTGCTTATGGGATTTGAAGGTGCAGCTCTCTCCTCTGGGAGCTCAGCGGGGCCCGGGCTGCGTGAGTTCTCTCCATGCACAGCCTACTGAAGGAGGTTTAAGATTTCACCTTCATCCCTATGCACACACGGATGGCAGTGAATAAAACCCAGGCGTTACAAACACAACTCGATGGATGGTGTCTTCGTAGCAAAGAGCAACCTGGCGAGGAAGGGACTTCTCCAGCCAGCTGGGGACAGAACTGGGCTAGCGCCGGGCCTGCTGGCCGCAGGTGAGCCTGACCACCTCCATGGGGAACAAC